GTTGTTGTTGTAAACCGCCATGATGATTGTGGGGTCCCACCGGGTGTGCAAAGAATGTGTGTCGGCACGAAATTTTGTCCCGTGCCGAGGGCACATGAGCAAGCCAGAAGGGTCTGCTCGATGGAGTTACAGATCCGCCTGGCTTCAACGCAGGGGTGGTCGATCCTGCGTACTCCTCTCAAGACGTGCCAGTCAATTTGATCCTACAATTGACAAGGAGAGAAAGCTAATCAGTAATTTAAGGCGGAACGTGCCGGTGTTGCCAGACAGTCCCGAATATGCGGCTCTGAGAGCCGATATGAAAGGAGATCAACTAAAGAGTCGATTCCAACATACTCATAAGAAAAAATCAGCTAAAGCTCATGGGGTTGTGTAAGAAAAATCGGTTATCATTCAGGATGAATATCGTTATTTAGACAAATATTAGTCAATGGCAATAAGATGTCAACAATAATTAGTTTATGCTAAGCCAATGACTACAAGTAACCGAATCCCTCTTATATAAAAGAAACAGCTCATCATCATTTAACCATTTAATAAAGATAAATCTAATGAACATAATAGATCTCATCTATCGCTATGACTAGTGGGGCATGAGGCAGAATCATACAGGCCATAGAAATAACAATAGATTCGACGACCCTAACTTATAACTAATATCAGAATGGCATGAGGCAGAATCATGTAGGCCGTAATACAATAATAAGATCATGGGGCTAACACATCTTTCAACCTATCTTTACTTCAACGGTCTCGTGACGTGAACTGTTCGTGAAAGCACTCGATATCGGCTAAAACAGTCGATTCAGGCATAGCGCACAGTTAAGGTCACACCCTATTAGGAATAGATCTACCAAGTAACAATCCCCACTCCACGGTGCTAACAGTGGGGTTTGAGGCAGAATCACACAGGCCATGATAACAGGCCATGGAACGGTTTCCGTTAGCCAATAAATCTATTCAAGATCTGACATGCCTTAACCGCACACTATGCACGATTAAGATTGACATAAAACAGCCGATAAAAACATAACTCATTATTTAAGGTGCAGATTAGATCAATTTTGGAATAACAAACGATGGGTTAAACAAGATATAAGGATGATCTAGATCAATCCCAATCGAGAGAAGTGATATTGCTGTAATTAAATAAACAATGGAAGCAATAAGCAACATCGGTAACTTAATGAATCTATCCAAAGGAACGCCACCCTTATATAGAGTCGATAACTTGACCTTAATCTAGTTCGAGCAGTGGAGGTCGACTGGATCGATGCAGCCGTACTTGAACTAAACAAGAGTCGATAACTAGCTTATATCAGAGTCATAGTAGAGGTCGACCGGATCGATGTAGCCGTACGAACAGAAGTATAAGCCATGACGATATTTACAGACAAGCCGGAGGTCGATCGGACCGATGCAGCCCTGCTCGCTGAAGAACTCGCCGAGATCTACTCTACTCCTACTCCTAAGGGGTGGCCGGAGCCAAAAAAAAGTAAGTAACTTGTATTGGATTGATTGTGTTTTTTATAATAGCCGGGGGTCCAATATTTATACCCGGAGCCTAGACATGAATCCTACTCAAACACGACTCATTACAATCTTCGGTATAGATGAAAACATTCCTAATTTAAGATAACTTGGACCCTAATCTTTCCCTTTTTGTAGAGTCCGACATGTAGTTTCCTGGCGCCAACCGTAGCTCATCATCGCTATCTGCTAACATCATCCAAAGCGATCCGATTCCAGAGTCGTATCCGAATCAGTTGATATCAATCCTTATGCAATCGGTTCCTTGATCGACACAATTTTGGAAGCTTCGAGTTCCCGCGTTTTTCTCTCTAAATTTTGGTGTAAACAGGTACTTGGTTGCCATGCAGGTAGGAAATTGGGATAGTATGCGGCTGCTAAGGTGGATGGGTGAATTTGATTGGAGTTAAGACTTGGGTAGATTGGGCAATATGGCTACTGTAAAGGCGCAGCGAAGGTATGGTTGACTTCCCTGGTGGGTTGTTGTGATGGAGGCTGAGTGTTTTCTCTGCTTTTTATCCTCTCCTGAGTTTCCTTCGCATCTGGGCAATCTCTGGTGATGTGCCCTTTGTTTTCTCCATGGAAGAAATAATACTGCCTCCGCTATCTTGGTTCTTGGTTTTTATTCAAGTTCTTCCTTTGGTTGTATTTCTTGCCTTCGTACTGCTTGTGTGATGGCTTGCATTGTTTTGCCTTCGGCATTTGCTGCCGCTATTGGCTGCTTCCTTGTTGTTCTATGTTAAAAACTTGTTAACTGAGGTCTGCTGAGGCTGTAATTGGCCTTGGCTTCTGTTGCCCTTCTAAACATTCCTACCACTTGTTTGGTACTGCTTGTTCTGATTTTATTCTTCCAGCCTTCTTCGGAGGTTATTGTCTGACCTGCAGTACTTCTCAAACTCTGTATACAGTTCTTGTATAGTGCTTGGTTTTTCTCGAGCTAGATGAGCCACGAAGGCTCCGATGTGGATGCCCTTGATTGCGGCCTCAATTGCCACATCCTCTGGGACATTTTGTGCCTTCGCTTTAAGCTGCACAAACCTCTGAAAATAATCTCTTAGCGCTTCACCTTGATTCTGTATGCACTGAAATAAGTCCATTGATGTCAGAGATTCGATGGTGAACCCTTTAAAGTTAGCGATGATCTTATCTCGGAGGTCTTCCCATGAATATACTGAGCTTGGCCTCAATATTAAGTACCATGCCAATGCGTCTCCTTCAGCTGCGATGACAAATGACTTGGCCAAGACAGTGTCATTCGCTCCTACGAAGGCTATGGTTGCCTCGAAACTCATGATGAACTGGCGGGGGTCTGATCTTCCGTTGAATTTGGGTAAGGTAATGGGCTTGTAAGATGGTGGCCAAGGTGAGGTTTGGATTCCTTCGGAGAGTGGGGATTTTGAATCTATAGCTCTATAGGATGGCGGCAAGTTGAACAGTGTGTTGAAGGTTGGCTGGGTGGCCATACTTGGCGAAGGGTTAGGTTGGCTTTGGTCTGCTGACCAGAGCTGGTTGGAAATGTTAGACTAGGGCTGGCTTGGCTGCATACTCTGAATCTCTACCTACAAGACAGCCAACTGTTGCCTAATCTCTGTTGCCTGTAATGATGTCTGTGCTGCCCTCTGATTTGCGACAAAGGTTGCTGCCATCCTATCTCTTTCTTGTTGTGTACTCTGCAGCTGGGCTTGCAATTGTTGGAGTACCTGCTCTGGGGTGGGATCTGAGGCTTGTTGATCTTCGGCTACCGGAGGCTGAGCTTCGATCGCGGGTTCTTCCACAACCTGGTCTTCTGGGGCACTGGCGTAAGTGTTGCGAGTATTACGCCTAGGCTGTCCCCTTGTCGAAGGCTCCACGGGTGTTCTGGTGGGGGCTGCTCTTTTTCTCGGCATCGTGGGTTTTGCTTGGCCAACACGCGGTGGGCGCCAATGTTGGAAAGTAGCGCTTCCCAGCAGGTGGTATGGAGGGAGCCTTCGCCCGATCGGATGCCCCAGGCAAAGGTAGAGAAAGAGGTAGGTGGGTCCTAGCACAATTAGGGTTTCATAAATGCACTCACCAACCTCCCAAACAAGCTTTAGCTCTCCCCTTTTATAGCGCGCTATTCACTACTTTTTCCTTTTACATCTTTGTCCTACAACTACTACGGTACATTCCCTGAACATCTCTCTTGTTAGTGCAGGTGGCCAGGGCAAACTGGACCTTCCTTTTTTGCACCGCCTTGTCTCCTTGGGCCTGAATTGTCGGTCCAAAGGGAAGCCCATTCCTGGCCCGAGGTCGCCTCCGCGCCGTGAACCCTCCTGCTATGGTGGAGCCAGCTTCCGCCTCCGCCCATGGCACTGCGGCCTCCGACTTCGCCAAGCGGCCTTCTGCTCGTGGTACCGCGGCCTTCGCCTTCGCCAAGTGACCTTCGCCCTCCTTCGTCGGGCGACCTTCACTTGCCTTCACCGGGCGACCTTCGCTCGCCTTTGCCGGGCGACCTCCGGCCTTCATCTCATGCGGCCATCAATGTGGAGGCCTTCTTATAACTTTCCTGCACATCACACGAAAAACCGGTTCGCTTGTTAGTCTCCGCTGTCTCCAGACTCTATGGCCTCCGCGGCTCGTGATCATTCCCCAACAAGGTCTTTTCTTCCACCTTCTATCTCCACATATACAAGAAATTAATAAAATAATCAGTATGGTGTCTTGTGGCAAAGATACCCGCTTTTGTAATGGTACCTGACAAAATTTCTGATTAGCGGTGTGTATTAGCAAATACTAGATTTCTACTATGTCTGTGACCAAAATTTGTCATTTCTTTTAGATTCTCCAAGTCATCTTTTTCATAGATTCCAAGGATCCAAATAAGTTAGTTTTTTAGGCTCTCGGTTATTTTGTGCATCGCAACGGTATGAACCCAACTTTACATAAATCACGAGGCAATTGAAATGTACCAACATGAATCATGGCCGATAATGAAGTGGAACAGATCACATGAATCACGAGGCAACTGAAACGAATGGACACGGTGGAAAGGAAAGCCGGTTGCGCTTCCTAAATTGACCTGACTGTCATCATGATGATGATGAAGAACTAAACATTTCGTCGTCCTTTCCTGATGCACACGGTCAAAACTGATGTCTGCTCTTTGGGGGGAGTGGGGCCTGAATTCAAAGGGCATTTTCCGTGTTTCCGGAGCTATCCCTGTTAGTTTTGCCCTGCTGCTATTCTAGTATCTAGAAGGAGAAGACCAGGAAAGAAAGAAGAAGAACATTCATTTCACCGACCATAATCTAATCGTCATCCTTTTCATTAGTTAGGCGAGTTGGGACGGCAACCGCGGCGCCATCAACGGAACGGAAGAATTGTTGGTTCAGACTGACTCGAGAAAGAGACCAAAATGTCAGGAGGTTGAACAATTCATTTCCGTGTCTTTGGCCACAGAAACAGACAGGCTGAAAGATGCCTGCCTGTCACGTGTCTCATTCAACAATGCTTCAATTTCCATGTCCTTGACCTTGACTGTCTAAAAAATCTGCATGAACTGCCAACCTCTTCTTCCTTCATACAGAGAAAGAAAAAGAAAAGAAAAAACCAAACACTACGCCACCAGTGAAATCTTCTCTACACACAACACATCACTTTGATTTCTCCTAAAGAATAAGGCCGGCCGGTCAGGGAACCAACTTTCACTCGATACAGCCACCTGAACTGAATTCCCTAATCGATTAACCAACACAAGTCTCTACAGGCAGAGTCAGAAAGCAACAAGGCCATCGTTACAACTTACAAGATCCTGGAACTCGGGGCGGCGTCACTACCTCTGCTCCAATCGTATTGTGTCAAGTCGGAGCTGTCGTCATCTTGCGCGCCGGCCACCATCCGCCGGAACATCCTTATCTCCGCCGTGTTGGCCACGTTGAAGAGCTGGCTTTGCCCAGGCTGAACGCCATTTGTTAGGTCAATGTCCGCTGAGCTCTCAAGAACCCGCACCACCTGAATTTGAGTTTGAAACAACGCAAATGTCATCTTCAATTCGGCTTCATGAATGAACAATGGACTAGGGACCAACGCCAAAACCACAAGACTGCTTGCTTTTACTTTTAAGTACCTGGCTCATTCTGGGCCTCCTTGATGCTGAGTGCCGAATGCAGGCTGCAGCAGCCTCGATCATGCGGAACATCTCCACCTCATTCAAATTCATCTCAAGCCTGGGGTCAACCAACCCTCCCAAATCGCCTGTATCCAGGGCTCGAGAAAGCAATGGCCTAGACTGAAAATAATTGGGAAAAGGAAGTCAACCAACAGTTCTCAGGCATACAACATATTCATGGTGCAGTAGTTCTTCAACATTGACAAGTTCTAGCTACTTATGCCGTTACAGGCATCATGAGCAATTCTCTATCCTCCCTCAAGACATATGCCTACCGTGACATCGTTCATGTATATACGAGTATACTGCAATCCAAAATTGAATATACGGTGCCAACAAACACTTGCTGAGAACAAAGCTTATGCTACCCAATAAAAGCAACTCCCAAAAATCATAGTCAACAAAAGTGCTCTAGGAACATCACCAGGCTTTAAGCAAATATAAGCTCTTTGCTAAAACTCACCCACTCGACGAGGCTCTCATCACCTAGTGGTCTCGATGCATCAACAGGTTTTCGACCAGTAATAAGCTCTAACAAAACTACACCAAAAGAGAATACATCTGATCTGTCAGTCAGTTTGCCACTTGAGGCATACTCCGGAGCCATGTACCTGGAAAAGAAAAAAAAAATCCAGCCATGAATTCTGTATGGTTATGTCATATATTGATGAACTTTCTGAGATATGACAGCACTTGACCCACCCAAATGTTCCCATAACACGGGTTGTTACATGGGTTACAGCATCCAAAGCCAACCTCGCAAGACCAAAATCAGCAACCTACAATTCGTGGATGGCATCCAATCAGAAAACCAATACAAATTGCTAGGTATATTGTGAGAAACACTTAGGCTCATTTAGTGAATGTAGTTACCTTTGCCTCAAAATTGTTATCCAACAAAATGTTTGAGGACTTGATGTCTCGATGAATTATCCTCAGATGGCCTGCAAATGGATACAAAGGAAAGTGTTTAACAATTAACACACAAAATAGATGGAAATGAACATTGCAAAGAAAACGAGAAGTAGGAAGGAACATAACAATCTTCGTGTAGATAAGCAATTCCACGAGCAGCACCTGCAGCAATTTTAACTCGCATGGACCACTCTAACACAGGCATTCCGTGTCCTGCAATTGCAGTTCAATTCAGTTTTTTACTGGCAGAAGATGGGAATGCTCTTGTAAAAGATTAGAAAGAGGCTCTAACATACCGTGAAGATGATAATGCAGCGTGTTATTAGGAACAAAGTCATATACAAGTAACCTTTGGTCATTGAAAATGCAGTATCCCACAAGGGAAACCAAATGACGGTGATGCACACGGCTAATTATCTCGACTTCAGCCTGGAACTCGCGTTCCCCTTGTCCGCCACCATCCTTTAGTCGTTTAATGGCGACATGTTTACCATCTGGCAGGCGGCCCTTGTACACCGACCCAAAGCCTCCTTCCCCTAGCAGCCTCTGAGTTGAGAAACCATCAGTAATCTGATACAGCTCATCATATGAGAAGAACCTGGAGTTGCCCATGCTGATATCAGACAAGCATTGTTTCAGCCTGGGGCTCCCGGCGCTATACTTGGTATGGACAGAAGGATCAACTGACGATCCTACATTTGCAGATTCACCTGAAGGAAGCGGGAAGATTGGTATCAGTGGCCGTGTTGCTAGCTATTCGGAAGGGCTGCATACTGTATTAAGCTAAATGCAGAAAAATTTCAGGCAACAATCTTACACAATCAGCTAGTACAATTAAAAGGACAACTCCAAAAGATAATTCATATTTTTTTTCGAACAGTCAAACAATGACAAAATTGCATCTTGCATGAACAACAATGACATGATATATATATATATATATATATATATATATATATATATATAGGAGAAGTGAGAAACAAAATACCCGAAGGTTGCTGTGAAGAAAAAGGCGAGGTAGGGGACATGAAACCAGCTCTGTAACCATTCATTTGCTTCCTCTTGCGCTTGTTGTTGAACCAAACTGCTGTGACTAGGAGGCTAAGTACAAGCAGGGCGACCACCCCAGCAGCGATGGCTATGACAACACCATTACCAAGGCCGCCAAAAGGAGCTGGGCTCCTGGACGGCGCACCTGGGCTGGACGACTTGTTCGAACTTGGGTTCTTGACGGCGCCGGAGTGGGCCGGGTCAACTGCAATGGCAGGCGTAGGCAATGTCCTGTGTCTAGTCGGTGGTGGTGCTGATGGCGGAGGAGCGTTGGAAGGAGGTGATGCAGGGGCCGGGGACGCTGGCGGAGAGAGCGAGGGCGTCGGAGCGGCAGACGGCGTCGGGGACGTTGGAGGGGGCGAGAGCAGCGGTGGCCTTGGAGGAGGAGCAGCCGGATGTCGAGGAGGCCCAGGCGGCTGCAAGTGGGAGTGGGAGGAGGGTGGAGGAGCGGCAGGTGGGGGAGAGGTGAGGGGCGGGGGCGCGGCCGGTGGCCTCGCAGCGGTGTCGGCCGGTGTGGCAGTGGGCCGCGAGGACGCCGGTGACGGAGAAGAGGCGGCCCCGGCAGTGGTGGGGGCGGAGGCCATGAACCAATCAGGCTCTTGAGGGGGAGAGGTGGTGGTTGGGCTTGGTGGTGCCTGTCCCCGTCGTGGCGGCGGTGTCGCCGGACATGGCAATACGATGGATGCTGCTACTACTAGTATAGGAATAGGAAGGAAGGAAAAATGGGAGCTTGCTTACTCTGATGGCACCGCACCACTTTTGCTTGCTTGCTTAGTTGCTTTGACGAGGGACAGAGGAGGGACGGGAGGCGGACTTGACTTGTGACTTGCGGACGCCGGACGCCACCAAAGAAATCGAAATGAATGGTGTGCAAGTTGAACCAAAAGCAAGCAAAGGCAAGCCAAGCATAGAGAGAGGAAGACGAGGATCGAGGAATCTGGGGAAGACGGTTGCTCCTCCAATTCATCTCATGGCGGAAATGGAACTCAGGGGAGCACGGCTCGGCTCGGCTGATCCTGCACTGCCAGCATCCAATTTCAGTCTCAGGGGCTGACACGAATCCAAGGGAAGGAGAAAGAGAGATTGGAGGAGCGTGGAAGTGGCGGCAGCAGAGCAGCCAGCGGTCAGTGGGGAGGAGTTGGGAGTGGACGATGATTCCCCTTCCGCTTCCACTGGGTGCCGCCGGGGTCCGTCCGGTCGTTGGACTTGGACCACTGCTTCACTGCCGTGCCCCCCGTGCTGTGCTGTGCTGTGACCTGCTCTGCTCTGCTCTTGCCTGTGGGGTTTGCCAGCGTTTGTGTTGGATTCGACCATAATTACCGTGCCTCCTCCCCACTCTACTTCCATTCCATAACACCTGCCAAACAAGTTTGGGTTACAAAATGGATGACCAGCCATTTCCTAAAATGTATGTATCTTGCTTTAGGATTTTTGTTGCCAAAAAATTGATTTTTTATAATTAAAAAAAGAGCGGAATGACTATATCTTTAACAACCGGGCTCCTTCTCCTGCGGCTTGGAAACAACGCTTTATAAGTGAAGTTAAGCTTCACAACTGTTCTCCCACCAGATGTTTGTCATGTAATTACAACTTGGTGCCTGTTTAGTTCCCAAAATTTTACAAAATTTTTCAAGATTTTCCGTCACATCGAATCTTTGAACGCATGCATGAAGCATTAAATATAAATAAAAAATAAAACTAATTACACAGTTTAGACGAAATTCACGAGACGAATCTTTTAAATCTAATTAGACTATGATTGGACACTAATTGCCAAATAACAATAAAAGTGTTACAGTACCATTTTTCAAAAAAATTTGCCAACTAAACAAGGCCTTGGCTGAACTCTTTGTAATAGGTAGTTCCTCCCCCCCCCCAGTTAGCTTCTAGCTAACTCCTTGTAACCTGTCTCGGGTTTGTTTGGCAATATATTTCCTGGGGAGCTTTGCTCCACAGTTTCGGTCAAAAAAATGAATTTTTATAGTCCTATTAGATTAAAAATGAAAATTTTATGATGGTAAAACAAATATAATATTTGCATTTTGCATCAAATACATTATATGACACATAGCATCTCTAATATGAGAGAATTCCCTGTGAGCCAATATTTTTGTTGCCAATATTATATGACACATAGCATCTCTAACTTCAAAAATAGTTCACTGCACTCTCATAGCGATTCACATAAACAACTCAACTCACAAAAAGACCAATATTTTCCTCACTTGCCTGCCATCAGCGGAATGTAAGAATTTATGAAGCCTCTATGTTCTGCCCTCCTTTCTTCTAACTAAAGTTTTTTGTTTTAATTTTTTTTCTAAACGTACAAAAATATAAAAAACGATATTTACTCAAATGATATTTTAGAAAGACTCTCAGAGATGCTCCAATTTAGTATTTTAGTATTGTGATGCATTGAATTTACCAGGCTTTGGTAAGGAAGTGAACTGGAGTTTCTTCAGTGAGAAAAATCTTACCAAAGATTGGTACCTGACCAAATGCCTGGTCCAATTAGCCAACATTGCTAAAGTTTTTTTTTTTTTTTTTTTTTGGTGAGGCAACACCTCGGCATGCGTGGAACCAAACAATCCCTTGGCTAGAGAAAGGTCATCTCAAAACCCTAACCTCGCTAGATATAAGAGATTGAAGCTCACCGGAATAAATTTGACAGATTTCCTCCCACAAAGTCAAGCTTTAACATGATTTAGTCTTTCAGAAGTGGTCTTATAAACACAAGTCTGCGTACATTGTTACAAGCATCTACATGTACCGTGATTAAAAAGAGCGAGAGATATGAATTGCTACATCCTTAGCTAGAGGTAGAGGGTGAGTGATTGGATCATTCGATGGATGCACGCAGCTAGACACCATGATGAATTGCCACTCTGCGCTTTGTGTCGTGGGGCACCCACCAATTTAGCTGGGGTAATCTATCTTAATTGCTTCTGCTTTACAGCAGCACAAGACCCGTCAAATCTACAATCTGACCAAACGAACCAACACAGAAGGTTAGGCTGCCTAAGCTGTGTATGCAACTGCCAAGGAGGCAGTAAGTTACGTCAGGCCAATGAAACGGGATGCATACATAAGATTGAAAAATGAATTCATCCCTCTTTACAAGAAAACAAACAAACAATTAAAAAAACTGGGTACAGTACCAATTGAATCTAATCGAATTGAATCGGAACTTTACAGATACTAGCACACAGAAGCATGCAGACAACTTACTCTTTCCTTCTACATACATGAACCGCAAAAACATAGTAGGTAATAGATAGTCAACCTGCCATGCCACTACCTAATACTACTACAAACTACTTGAAGAAGATGCCCTTTCTTCTTCCCTTACTCCTCTCAACAGCCTGCAATCACAGAAATTCCTGACTCATCATCGACGCATTACAAACAAACATCTAAGCCTAAAAAATCAGTGAGAAATGCAACTGTACCTTCATTCTGAATAGCTTTAGTATTAGAACAATGGCATCTCGTGATCTGGAATTTTTTATATTAAAAAAAACAGTTAGCATCTCTGTGTTCTGCCATTTTTATGGCCTAGGCCATCACTCTAAAATAACTGCCACAAATGCAAGCGTAATAATAATAACAGATGTCATGCAGTCAACCAAGCACAGAAGCAATTGACTACTAGGAGCACACTGTAGCTGGATTCGAGTTGTGGAAAAACTAGAGATCAGGGGAAGCCACACAAATGGATTCTGACATGCTTTCAGTTGTAACTTGACGCATCAAAACTTCAAAAGACAATTGCAATATAATACTACCACAACAAATAGTCACAGTGGTTAGCATGAAACTCACGGGGCATTTTCTGCAGGCTTTAAATTGTACTCAGCACCATCAGCAGACACAATTGAGAACTCAGTAGGACGCCCAAATGGGATATTGATCTGCAAAGATTGTACAAGATAAGTTCTAGATCACTATACATACAAAAAAAGGAATGAAACCCTGGAGAACCCAGAACCTGAAATACTGAAAGCATAAAGAAAAACTAACTAATACTATTTCCTTTCACAACAAAATGTAACTTCTGTGTGTGGTCTCCAAGATGAACCTTACATTTCTCTACAAAGAGGGATGCACCTACAGCCACCTTTTCAGTATAAGATATTGCCAAACATACTAAGTTCACCATGATGGAAGATTGAGATGACATATCTGGTACAATTTCATGCAACTAATTTATAGTAGTATAGTGCCCGTGCTAACGCCACGGCTTCATTTCAGGGATACACATGAAAATAACCAAACGACGATATTTTTTTCCACAATTTAAGTTTCACGCAATTCTATATGACCAAGTATAAAATAGCAAACAAGATAAAATTTATACAACTTGAGGCTACAAAGAAAACAAACATTTTTATCACATAAATAAATACGAAACACAGGACCATATATTCATACACATTGGTTATTCAGAGTTCCAAATGCTCTGAACATTGAGACCACTGAAAAAAAAAGATGGTTACAAATCCCAAGACATTTTTTTCAAAAAAAAAAAGATGAAGCATCACACAAACAGAGCGATTTTAAGGACAATGATTTTGGAAACCATACAGTCATCGCTTGCTGGAATTTCTCTGTAACGACGACACCACGCTGTCCATTACACTTAACACTGTAACCTTCCCTCTTTATTGCCAAGACAGCTGGTTCCCACATATCTAAAAATCTAACCTGCAGAATAGTTTGATGTTCACAGGGTTATATGACAATGGAAAGGTGTAGAGAGAGTGCTCTTGGAAGACCATTTGAGAAGAATAGAGGACATACAGGTAATAGAACTTCATAAGACACATGTCCCATAGAGAGAATTTTCTTAATATGTTCCTTGGTTTCAGGATCTGCACAAATAAGAGTTACTCAGATACTGAGACATATCTAATAAGCCAAAAGAAACCCTTCTACACCATGACATGATTCTTCTCTCGTACTGACAGCTCAAGGTACTGACAGCTCAAGAAGAAATGGAGCTCAGATACCCAATCATTTTTTAAAACATACAAGGTGCAAATGAAAGAAAAGAAAAAGATTGTGTCCACTACTTAAAGAACAAACGCTCTTTGAAAACTCACCACATGTAATTTTTCTTTGATCATTAGCATAAACCTTCACAATCTCCCCCTACAACAACAGAAAAAATTTTAGATAAATCAAGAGGTTCCATCATCCAACTCAGTAATAACCGTGTAATGTAAAGTTTTCAAACCATGAACTATGTGTTAGCACCCTACCAACATATAACTAATGAGCCGTGGTATGAATTCTAACCTAAACCACATCTGTATATGTTTTTCCCAAACAATAGAGTTAGCTCACTTTTATCCTTTAACAATTTTTTTAATCTAACAAAAAAATAACATACAACATAAATTCAAACAGCCCTTGCCATCTTCCTGTTATTGCAATTTCAACAAGATCAAAAAACTGCCTCTCAGGTTCTCAAAAATCGACAAATGGGCAGTACTTTTAGCCATTTGCTTCTCAGCATACACTATGCGGTAGAAGTCACTAGTGTGAGGCCTATAATAACACAACAAACAGGTGCCCACCATCT